GCTTGGGGACAGGGGGCTTGAGGACAGAGGACTAGGAGGCAAAAGGATCAACCCACTTTCCCTAAAATATTCTATTTCTCGATGTTTGTATGTTTGTGCATATTATTGCATGACACCACAGGCATGTACAGCCGTTGGGGACTCGTATTATCGTGTCAGAATCTTACCTGGAACTCATGTTTATAATGGTGCAATATCTTGAAATTGATTAATAAACAAAAAACTTGAATTATTAAATTGTTTAGCGATTGTTTTATGCGTCAAGTGTTAATTTCCTTCAAAAGTTTGAGTTCACTTCAAAATTCAAAACAAAACGGACATTGGCTGAGAGTTCCGTGCTAATTGTGGGTTTGAACGTATTATTTTATTACGATACTTAAATTTCAAGATTGTTAACTGGATTCGGGATGATTGGGTAAGGAATGAACGTTTTCGGAAATTTAAGATTTATAAAAACGGGATTCTAGAGTTGGAAAGATTATCTACCTCGTACAGCATATTTGATAGCATGCTAACCTGCTTGTATTTGAATATAAAAAAATTAGTGACAAAAGCGTCCTCCAGCAGACAGCTGGTAGACGTGTCCATCTAACACCTGTCTGATGTTTGTCCACCTAACACCTGTCTAATGTGTCCATCTAACACCTGTCTAATGTGTCTACCTAACACCTGTCTTGTATGTCCACCTAACACCTGTCTAATGTGTCCACCTGTCTTAATTGTCTACCTAACACTTGTCTTGTATGTCCACCTAACACCTGTCTTGTTTGTCCACCTAACACCTGTCTAATGTGTCCACCTAACACCTGTCTAATGTGTCCGTCTAACACCTGTCTAATGTGTCCACCTAACACCTGTCTTGTTTGTCCATCTAACACCTGTCTAATGTGTCCATCTAACACCTGTCTAATGTGTCTACCTAACACCTGTCTTGTATGTCCACCTAACACCTGTCTTGTTTGTCCACCTAACACCTGTCTAATGTGTCCGTCCACCTAACACCTGTCTAATGTGTCCACCCACTACCTGTCTAATGTGTCCACCAGCAACCATCTGATAATGGCCACCTTGTGCGCTAATTTAACGTTTTTTTCTTTTTATTTTGCAGATCCTGTTCGTTTTTTCGCTTATACTTTCTCTCAATGCATTCTTGCATTAATGTTACGCATTGTACATGCAAATTACTTAATGATGTTTTGATCCATTGAAATTTACCATGAATTTTACGTATGTTAATTGATTCTAACGTGATATTGTATGTAATTAATGAATGAGTTTGATACTACATGTGCACTATTATTGAATGTGGAAGTAGGGCCAGGATCTTTAGTGTTGAATGATTAAAGGAAGAAGTTAAATAATTGAAATAAGATAAAAAATATGAATTGCGTTTTGCATGAGATAATTTCGCGACACGAAACTGCAGTCATATCCACCACCACAACCTGCACTCATATCCACCACACAACCTGCACTCATATCCACCACACAACCTGCACTCATATCCACCACAACCTGCACTCATATCCACCACCACAACCTGCACTCATATCCACCACAACCTGCACTCATATCCACCACCACAACCTGCACTCATATCCACCACAACCTGCACTCATATCCACCACCACAACCTGCACTCATATCCACCACCACAACCTGCACTCATATCCACCACCACAACCTGCACT